GCTGAGCTAGAGAAGAGGTGGAGGGGGGAGGAAGGGTAGGAGGGAGGAGCAGGAAGGCAGCGATCCTCCGCCGTTCAGTCGTCTTCCAGTCCCTGGTTGAGGAGAAAGTTGGCCGCCAGGTTCTCGTTCTTCTCGCAGGCAAAGTAGGCCTGGATCACCAGCGCCTCAGGGAAACCCAACGCTTTTAACTGTTCGGTCAACGGCGACACAGAGAAAAGGGGGAGAAAGGCTTTTTAAAAAAAAACTAAACCATCCAATAACACATTTTCTAATCTGCAGTCTGTAACTCGTCACTCGCTCACCCTTTCGATGGCTTCCTTCTCCTGAGGTGTAACCTGGATATAGTTGACGGGCGCGCCCTCCTCACCCGCCGCCCCCATCTCTCCAACCTCCGGTGCATCGCCGCCTTCGCCCACTGGCTCGTTCAACATCTGGATGAACAGCTCCTGATGCTGACTGATTTGCTGCAGGAGGAGAAACCAAAACAGGAGGTAAGTATCTGTAAACCTCTAGAGCTTTAGTGAACAAATCCAGCCCGGACTAGTGAACATTAAGTTGGTAAAACTCGGCCAGTGTACCTGTAGAAGTTGAGGATTCTCTCGTCCTAACTGCTGGAGAAGAGCCGGTAGCAGAGCAGGGTTCTGCTGGATGGCCTGTCTCATATGCAGGAACTGGGGCTGAGTCCGCAGGAATGCAAGTGGGTTCTCTCCTGGTGGGAAGAACAACGAATGACCGTTAGCCAAAGAGCTGAACTGATACGATAAGTTATGAGTTTTCCAGGTTCCTTCTTGGCAGCCTTGTGGTTTCTGTAGTTTTATAGTTGGGATAACTTACCTAAAAACCACTTCTTAGTTATGATAAATGAAACAATAATTACCTAAATAGACAGAAAATAGTTGCAGTACTCGCCACAATACTTAAGCTAACACACCTTCTAGTCCCATCATCCGTTAGCTTAGCATCAAACACCGTAAAGCACATCTGGCTCTGTGGTAACTCGCTGGTGTCACTTCAAAATCGAACAAATGCAGTCGTGACTCGATAATCCGACCCTTAACAATCCTAAACCTTGCTATCCGACAGGTTTCTAGGAAAAACGAACAAAAAAACAGCCTTAACATAGCGACAGCCTTGGATTCTGACTCCGACATGACATTTAATGTCACAAATCAGGATAACAGCGTATTATCTGACTGAACAATCCCACAGATTGGCTACGTTCACACTGCAGGACTTGATGCTCAACGAGGATTTTTTTGTGAAATCCAACTTGTATGTGATCTGCTGTGTGAACTTCATACGACCCAAAAGTGTCCCGCATGTGCTCCCAATATTCAGACATTGGTCATTAATTTGGCCTGAATGTCCAGAGACCAGACAGTGCTATTGGGACCAGCCCTACTAGTTATTAAAACAACTATGAACAACTAATGATCCTTCCAGCATCAAGCCCTCCTCGTATCTCGACCTCCGTCTTGACAATCCGACAGCCTTGCTATCAGACATAAAAGAAGGTTTTACATTTAGTGTCGGATTATCGAGTCACGACTGTAGTTGTAATTCTCGCCACAATACTTAAGCTAACACACCTTCTAGTCCCATCATCCGTTAGCTTCACATCAACCCTCGTAAAGCAGATGTAGCTCTGTGGTAACTCGCTGGTGTCACTTCAAAGTCGAACAAATAGAACAACTCCAGTAGATCTTTCCATACATACATTTGTTTCGCTGTAACATTGAGGCTGTTTTTATGTTCAGAAACCAGAGGCTATTCTCTCTCTCTCTCGCTCTTTAATCTGTCGCGCAAAGACGTATGAAACGAGAGAAAATCTCCGAGTAAGACAGCAACCGAGCCCGAGAAAGCGTTTGACAAGACAATCCTTTGTAACCGCTACACTTGTTATTCAAAACTGGCTGTCACATGAAACCCCGTCCGCCCAGCCAGCTCCAGCTGGCCAAACTCGAGAAGCGGAAATTTTCAAAGTGCGTTCTGCATTTATTAAATTTGTATGTAAACATCGACATCGCCGAACGATCCTTAAAGCAAGAACATGAACGTCCTCGGCTCGTTGCTGCTGAACTGCCACAAATCAAATACTTTTGCGGCGCCGTAATGAGCACGACCCAGCAAATGTCGCATTTATATACAATTACCCGTCATGATCGCTAATTGGGCCCCGATAATGTAGCTCGTCTTCACACAGGGATAAAGGTGCAGGTTTTTAATGACACTTAACAGGCCCGACAACAATTTGTACAAGTTTGTGGCAGAGGAACGTTGGGCTACTAATGAGTCATAATGAGTCACCGTGTGCCAGCGAGCTGATGACGGTTATTTTCAGAAGTTATGTCCACCATTTGTTGCGGCCTCACATCCAAATGCTCGGGCGTAATCTCAGATTTTTTTGGCACAGGTGGCGCGATTTATATTCTGCTATTAATCTTAAGGCACCAGCTGAAGCCTCAAGTATATGTGGGTTTTTTATTCAACTAATGAAGTTGTGGAAGGTTTTGTTTTTTAACAAATCCACCATTGTTTACAAGTACTGGGTTTATTTTTTCACACACAGAGAGAAAAAGAGACAGTCAGGGTTTTCCCAACCATAGACATTCTTAGGCGTGGTGCATAAGTTTCTTTGCGGAACGCCTAAAGCCAAAATGAAAGTAAATAAAAGGCGTTTGGACAACATGCTGGAATTCTGGAAAAAGAAAAGAAAGCTGTAATGATCTGTAGTTCAGCATTAGGCGTTCGGAAAACTCGCTGCTTTATCTGCAAGCGTCCGCCGTCACCTTCCCACATCTGCAGCTCCTAAACATGCTAAAATGTGCTCTAGTTTAAACATCTTTATCCGAGCTGCTAACTAGCCTTTAACTCTGCAGTGATGAGACGAAGCAAACAGATAGTTTGGGATGATTTCATAACAGTTTTTACTGAACAGAGCTCCAGGCTGCAACGAAAGCGGTCGCATGTGTGAGTTAAAATTCACACGCATGATGATCATTAGGCTGGTTCGAGCCGCCGAGGTTGAAAATAGCAACTTTTTCTCAGCCGTTCCAAGTGATGAAACGATCCGCAGCCGATTATTTTAGGAAACTAAATGACTGGAGAGATGAGGAGGAGGAGGAGGAGGAGAGGAAGAGGTCCGACTCAGATACTCCCGATGATAAGAACGCAGGTGTAGCCGGTGAGATAATGACTGAGTCAGCGGAGAAGAAACATTCAATCACGATGACTAACGCGGTGCCGGGGATGAAAAATTAAACACCATGAGTGCGTTTAAAATGGAAGTTCGCTCACAGGAAAAAGCATGCGCATAGAAAACAGCCCATGTAGATGAAATCACTAGTTGGTAGTGCCGACGTTACTCGTGGAAAAATGCACCCTAACCCCGCTACATGGACACTTAGTTAACAATCACCCCTGTCAGCTACTAACGAGCTAAAGAGTTACTCATTTCCCACAACAGGCCGGACCTAAACCAAACACAGGTTAGTCACACGGCCGCCGTCCTCAAGTGGAAGTCTCAACAGGCCAGTTCTGCTCGCAACCGACATCACCACCAACCAGAAACTCTGTCCAGATTGACTCTACAAATGGATTTTAGTGATGCAATACGTTTATTCTTTCTCTGTTTACCAGTTCAGGTAATCCAACTACATTTTCAGTAAACCTCAAACATGCTATTCGGTTCATTTAACAGACTTTTAACTACAAATATGGTCAAAAACAACTAGAACAACAGCAGCTGAACCTCTCAAACCCCAGATATCGTGTTTATTTTCGACCAAAGCGAGCTGGGCGGCCTACCTTCTGCTAGAGACGGGGCTTCTGTGGGTCCAGATGCGGGAGCCTGCGCTGGGGGATTGCTTTCCTGGACTGGGCTGCTGGGGATACCCTGGAAACACGACGACACAACTGTCAATCACACACACACACACACACACAAAGACACACTTTCCTGCGCGCTGCCAAAGAACACAGACGGACCAGAAATAGTATCGGGGCCATGGAAGCTAGTTAGCAGCACATTTAGGAGTGTCGTTTAAGAAATCCTTCAGTAATCTCAAAAAGAGTTTATGTACGAAGACAGAACTGACACTGCCGTCTTAATTAAGCTTATAGTGTTCGTTTTAGAAAGATAACGATTGAACTTAATGGAGATTTTGGAGGCTGTAGTTTGCTCCAACAAGAAAACATGCAACAATACCAACAGATATTTCTATTTCTGTCTTTTAATTAACAATTTGTTCTTGGTATAATTCTTCTATTCAAAAAGACAGAAGTTAAATTATCCGGTTAGAATATCTTCTGTGTTTCTTGCACATTAAAATCGATCCAGAACGTATGTGGATATTGGATGATGTGCAGTAGATGAGTTTCTGCATGACGGTTTCGCTTGTGACTCGCCTGCTGGACCAGAACTGGCTTCCTGACTAGCTCTATGAAAAGTTTGAGTCAGTCTGAGCAGTGTTCCTGAAATGGTGAGAATAACCGTGTGTGTGTGTGTGTGTGTGTGTGTGTGTGTGTGACGTACAGTGAGGAGGTACTCCACAGCTCTGTGGGGGTTGTTGAAACTGGCCCGTAGCGCCGCCACCACTCGCTCCCTCTCGTAGCCCATAGACATGATCTCTGTCAGCATGGCCTCGTACTCGGCTCCGGTCACTGAAAACACAGATGGCTTTAGATATTAGTGACATCTTCAGGAATGCACCAACAGGAAATTGCTTTTTTCGAATTATTCGTCCTGTGGAAAGTACCCAAATGTGGCACGTCATGTCTAAATTTAACTACTTTTGTTTGACTCACACATGCAGTCAACTGATGACAACATCGCCTGGTTCTGTTTTAACATAAATGTCCAGCTACGATTCTAGGAATTCTACGTCTGTGCTTTAAAATGTGTTGCACCTCTGAGATGACTGAGGCCGATTTAAAGGCTAAAGAAGCCAAGACAAAACTCTATGAACTATTCCTTTATGATTGCAGTGAGCACTCAGATGTTCAGATTTCTGATGTCAGAGTTTCATCTGTGACATTCGGTTGGAAAAATTACCTACATCTAAGCTTTTAACTCGTGATATTTACACAGAATCCCTCGATCCTGCATCCTATTGTTACGTAACCATAATTTAGTGTTTTTTTGCGGCTGAACTGCAGGCTGTGTTTCCAAAGCAGACCGGAGACAACGATCGATACCATCTGTGCTCAGCAGAGCCGCCATTTTTCACAGTATTTGTAACACCTGTGTTGAAAAATGGTTGTACATGTTTATTCCAGGTTTTTTTTTAAGCTAGATGATCAAAGAAATTCAACATTTATGTCATTATAACACCAGATAAATTATCCCACAGCAGTTAAAAAAAAACCCCAGAAACTGCTCTGAGTTCAGGGTTAATTTAAACTTAAGGCAACGTGGTCCTAAATAGCAGCATGACACTTGTGCACTTCCTTTCTCTTTAAGTATGTACATAACTTAAGAGTGGACCAAATGGGAATCCCCCATCCCACCTCTCTGTGGCATCACAACAAGAGATGGCTTGCTTTTGTCAGAACCTAAATATAGTGACGGTATGTATCTCACTGCAGCCTGTAAAGTCCCTCACTCACAGCAGGAACAACTGAACCCTTTGATAACAACGTTAAATGTCTGAAACTTCACTGTTTACATACAACATTACATCTACTGCCGTAACACAAACTGCTTTTGTTTGTCGTGTGACATAAATCTAGGAGTTACCTACCGAGCGCTGAGGAGGCATCCAAGCCCTGACTCCCGCCACTGGAGCTGCAAAACAGAAGAAAGAACTGAGACGACCTGCAGAGCATTTCTGTGATCAGGTAAAAGGACGCTGGGCTGCTCGGAGCAGCAAATGTCGACTGGTTCATTCAGACATCAGCATCGATTACATTCAATTATATAGATATATATGTATATGTATGAAGAGTTCATTTGCTAAAGCTGATGTTCAGAAAACTTTTTCGTTTTTTGCTTGAGATAAAATCAATCAAACTGAAGTTGAGCGGATCTGACTCAGTAGAAATGACAAAAGTAGAGATAACTGAGGTTTGATTGATATCAGGTAGACGATGGAAAAGTGGGTTTTCTGAAACAAATGTTCTGCATGTATACAGCCACTGGGAACAACTTTGGGTTCAGTGTCTTGCCCAAGGACACTTCGATTGTGGAGGGACCGGGGATCGAACCGCCAACCTTGCGATTGGAGGACAACCCGCTCTACCACGACAGCCACCCTCGGTTGGTGAAGATGGAGTTGTCTGGTTTTGCAAATGAACTCTTCAGATATAAAATAACACAAAAAAACAAGCATATATTTGGATCGAATCCCAACCACTGAATGACTCGTGTTCCTTTATCCAACATGTGCTGCATGTTGACAACAAAATAATAGTAAAATGACAAAAGTTTATTAGACATATTTTATTCAACTTATTGTAAAATTAATGTAGTTTTCAATTATACTAAAGAAGTTTAACAAAATGAATAAATCACATGAGCAAAGCACTCCCTTGTATCTGACGACATCTTCAAAAAGAGGACAAATTAATGTCACTTAAGGAGTTCATCACTATCTCGCTTGAACACCTAAAAGTGGATTAATATTTTAAAAGCTGCGATAGCTCCACTCCAACGAATCGATCCCTCCAGTAATGAGCGCTGTGTGGTTTTCTAGTTGCGGTGACGACAACCCGCTCAACATTCGCCGGAGGAAGAGAGACAGACTTCTTACTCTGTGGGTGTTTTTTGGCAAAACGATCCACTCACTCTTTTTAAATATAAAAACAGCACAGAGCAGCATTTCTTTCCGTGACGAGCCATCTTTGGTCAAGTGTACAAACACAGCTTGCGAAGCGTGTTTATGAAAGAACAGCCAACGAAATGCATTTTGTAGTTTCGCTAACTCGAGAAGTCGACATCAGACGAACACGACTAAGAACAGGGAGTCGGATCACAGCGTTGATTCTGCTTTTGATTTTACAGGGTGGTGGGTGCTGTGGCCATACATCTGATGTTTCGTCTTGTAAAACATCTCAACAGTGGTTTTCAGAGTTTATTATTCTGCCAATTCTTTGCCCAGAAATCCAGCAAAAATACAAACAACTAACATTTGAGAAGCAGGGACCGGTGAACATTAAAAAAAAGAATTAAACTATCGACCAAAACCGGACCGTACCTGGCTGGTTGTTGTGGTTCTGTGGCTGCGGCACTTGGCTCCTGTTTGGCCTCCTCGGGAGGAATGGGGACAGCTGCTGGGGTTGGGGTTGGGGCTGAAGCTGGGTTTGTGGTCGGGGCAGCTGTTGATGTCGAGCCGGAATCCTGTACGGGAGGCTTGGGCGCTTCCGAGACTGGCGGCGAGGCTGCAGCTGCGGGCTTAGCCTTGCGTGTGCAAATAAACTTGCCGTTAGACCAAAAAGCTAAACAATCAAACACTCTAGAGGAGTCGTAACGTTATCACACATGTGATAATAAAATCCAGCATCAGCCACGGCCTGGTTGGACTGTCCAACTCTTTAAGACTATGTTTTGATGAATTATATCATTAATTCGTCTAGCTAAGACATTGGTTTAGTGAACATGTGATGTCACAACAGCCCTGTCATTGGACCTACTTGCTTTAAACAGACTTTTTTACCAAAGTAAAAGCACAAGCAACCTATAAAACCCCCCGACAGCTTTACCAGCGACATCTTACCTTGGACACCATCACTACAACGAAATTCTTCTCGTCAATTTTGTAGTCCTTAATTGGCGTGTCATCCTGCAAGATTTTCCCAGCGTATATCAGCTTCTGTCCCGATACAGGAAAGTTGTCTTTTCCTCTTTCTGCTTCTATCTTCTCTTTCAAGGCCTTCACCTGGTAAACAAGAGAGGACTCATTCACCCACTGACAGCCACTTCCAAACGGTTTTATCAGTGAGCTTTAACATGAATACTCAGGGTTAAGATGGCATTCGTTCCTTCACGCTATTTCCGGGCGAGGGGAAGTGTTATAGGTGCCTCTAGTTTGGCAGTCAGTGAACAGATGCAGCGGTTTCCCTCAAATCCAGGTGAGCACGCAGCATGACAAAGCTTTTAGACGAGCGTGAAATGTCACCTGACCGACGTCCACCTTCGCGATGTAAGTGATATGTCAACAATAAATGAGCAACACACAGTCCAACGCTCGCTTTAACTTTGGCCTGGAAAGCTACACCTCAAAGATGTGAGCACGCTAGCAAACTGAGTCAGCTCCTCAGCACCTCACCAATAAGGCTAATCGTAATTGGCAGTGTCATAAGCATTAGCATTAGCATGTCGAAACGTAGTGGACAGCTTGAGTTCATTGTAGAAGTTGCGGAATTAAATACTGAACCGCATCTTAGATCAACGAAGAGCAGAAGCCGCCGAGTAACCGCGGCGCAAACTTGAAACGACGAGAAATTTGTTTACAGTCGCGTCGCGATGACTTTGTAATGGGCTAGCTTGCTAGCCACCTAGCATGCTAACGGCTAGCATTACAAGTGAGGTGTCGCGTTGTTTTGCAGTCTCATGTGGGATGCAAATCAGTAACACAAGCGGTTCGTGGGGCCCTTTTTACCAAAACCACGTAAGTTGTTCTTCGTTTGATAACAGCGAGTGAAGCTGTTGGGTCTGCACTAAAAAAAAAAAAACAAAAAGCCCCAAAGCAAAAACACTGGTCCCGCGGCTAGCACTCTGATGCTAAAGCTAGTTAGCTAATAGCCACTCACCGTTTGTTCGGGGTCTATCTCAATCTGAATAGTCTGCTGCTGCAGGGTTTTCAGCGTGATCTGCATGGCGGCGGCGGCTGACGCTGCGTCAGATGTGCTTCAAATGGAGAAATAGTCGCTCGCTAAGCACTTAGTTTGTTTTCAAAGTTGGCGTTTCGGGCGAGATAACAACTAGCCGAGAAATGTGTGTATCCATGAGCACTCAGCAAATCGCCATCTTTGGTGACAAGTTGGTGGTGCGGCGAGGAGAGTCCGCTGGAAGCTACGAGATCTCGTGCTGCGCTCCGCGACTATGGCAGCCGCTTGACTCTGACGGGCTTCACTCGACTAATTATGCTTTTAATATCTACAGATTCATTAATCAAATGCTCAGAGCCGTTGTTAGGATGTTGGGAATTTAGCCCAGTCCTGCAACGTTTAGATTTTAACCTGATGATCTTAAAATGTTCATTTATTTCAAAATCAAAAATATATAAATAAAATGTGTTGTGGGTTAGTTAAGGTCATCCTGCTTTTTTCTTTCTATGCCTCACCCACATTATTTATCACAGTGGTTCTCAAACTGCGCTCCCCTTAGAATAAATCTTATTTATGGTGATACACAGCAGTGATCAACTATAAACTTTAAATAGAAGAGAAGCAGGTGTTCCCTCATAAAAATCCTCATAACAGATAATAATCAGACACATTCTGCTGCCTGTTTCTGAGGAAAGAAAAAAAAAAACATACAGAAATGGCCAAGAGATAGCTTATCTACCTGTAGCGGCTCACAATAAAACCATAAAATATGTTTTTGTTGCTACTGGTGTCGTATTTAATGATTTAGAGGTCAAGTCGGGTACAGTCCACATTCATGATAATGTCACTGCTGTAAATATCCCCCTTTTTAAAAGCTTTAACACGTGAATAGATGAGCAGATCAGAGGCTTTTATTGTTGTTGCTTTTGTGAAATCGTCTACAAATATGCAGAATTGCAGAAGCTTTGACTGCAGCTGGCTAAAAGTTATTTATCCAAACAGGTAATTCTACGTCAGATATCTATAACTCCTTTATGACTAGTGATTAGGAGAGGAACAAAGTAAGAATGAGCTATTAACTTGAATTAAGAATTTATTTGATGAATTGTCTGAAATAAAAATCCTGGAATAAGTTGAAACCATTGTTTATATGAATTTGTGTTGTTTATAAAGTCTGTCTTAAATATTAATAATCAGTGGTGGAAGTTAATTAAGTACAAATTAGAGGTAGTTGTACTTTTTGTATTTCCGTTTTATGTCATTTTATCCTTTTACTCCACTACATTTATCTGACCTCTTTAGTTACTTGAAGATGAAGATGTTTTACACAGTGGAGAATTTAAGAAGCTTTTAAAACGCAGCACGTTGTTACAAACTAAATCAGCTGTTTTCAAACTTTTTGGCTTATTTTGAAACGCAGTGTTTAGTCGGATGCATGAGTTGTCAACAACTAAACATTGTTTTCCATCCATCTGTGATCTCTACACCTTATTCCTCACTAGGGTCATGGGGACTGGAGTCTATCCCAGCTGACTCAGGGTAAAGGCAGGTTCACCTGGACAGGTAACCAGTCTATCACAGGGCTACACTTAGAGACAGACAACCAAGCACACTCACATTCACACCTACGGACAATTTAGAATCACTCAACATGTTTTTGGACTGTGTGGGAGGAAGCCGGAGAACCCGGAGAGAACCCACGGAGAGAACCATGGAGACTCCACGCAGAAAGATCCCAGGTGTCCTCACTGGGACGTGAACCGGCGACCTTCTAGCTGTGAGGCAACAATGCTAACCACTGAACCACCTTGCAGCCCTGAATATTGTTTTTCCCTCTAAAACTCTCTCATGGTTTCATTGCAGTAAACATTTCAAATGATTCAAAGATTAGTGAGAAAATCCAAAAACTGAAATCATATTTGTGAATCATTGATCTTCTAAAGACTCCTTAAATGTATCTGTTCCTGAATATAAAATCTGCATCTATTGTAGGTCAAACTAGCTCCACCTGCAGCTCCTCCAACAGTAACGTGCTGCCGACACACTGATGCTTCATTATCAATAATCTAATGATGTAAAATATTAACAGCGCATCATTCAGAGGGACCAAACCAGTGCTTTCAATACTTTCACTGCACTTTTCTGTTGCTAATGTAAGCGCATGATCCCTTTCCCGTCACCGTTAATAACGATGACAATGTGTTTTTATATGTTAAAGACCTTTTCTGTTCACAGAGATGTCAGCGGTCGCTGTGACTGAGCCCTCCGGTCGGGGTCATGCTGGGTGGAGCTATATTCAGAATCATGTGAAGTCGCAAAACCGTCTGTCTACCAATAAGAGCGACGACACGGTTGAACAAGTCGTTCCACATGAACAGGTGCCGCGGAGCCAGCAGGGCCGTCCTGAGGTGACACCTGATCAAATAGTGTTAAATGCAAACACCTGTCTGGCTGCTCTGTGGGTGTTTACAGGCTGTCGTTAGTTGACATTTGATTTATTAGACTCAGTAGCACGACTGCTACTTAAAGATGTAGTATTTAAGTTTCTGCGTTAAAAGGCCAACGTTGAATATGTTGCTGTTAACTGGTGTATTTGCATTTATCTTAAAGGTTTCCAAAGCTGTTCAAACTTAAAGAAATGTAATTCAGTGACACAGTGCGCTTCATTTTGGTCACTTGTAAATTATATCATATCCCCTTTACCTCATTTACTGTAGCTGGGGAACAGTATTCACAAGTTTGAGAGTCTTAAAGAAGAAAAATTAGTCAGCTTTCATGATTATTTTTGGCATGTTTGTTTTGATGATTGAAATCATAACGTTAGCTGCAGCATCTGTATAAACTCGTCTAACGCTAAGTTAGCAGCTAACGTTCACCATTGTTACTCATTTCACTGGAATGAAATGACTGTATTACTTTAAATGTGCGTCACAAAGGCTAACATGAGCAAAACTTTAATACCTCGTTTTCTTATAGCTCTCTGTACATGTATGAGTCAACCAAATGTCCATTTGTTTCTGTGGGGAAGTCCGTGATATTTAAATTTGATGTGTTTGCAAAACTCATTTACCAACTTTTTTTTCCATTCCTGAATTTAGTACGTTGACGCATTTGAACTTTTGCATTTCGAGGACACTGCACTGTGTGCTAAAAGTTTGAAAAATGAATTAGCTAACAGGCTAAAAGGCGATTCAGTTGCTTGACTATTTTGACAGTCGTATGATGTAAATATATATTATGTAGTATGTAAAACATGCTAAGTGTGTAACGTTCAGAAAGCGCATAGTGGTTCATACATCTTGTAATGCAATGTGTAATATGTCACAAAACTAGCTGCACACGTAGCCAGCTAACCTCGTTGCTTACGTCTTGCAATGCATTGCTTGACCTGTTTTTGTTGCTGATGTTATACTTTCCGCAAAGATCTGCTAAGGTTAGCTTGATGTAAATTTTGTCATCTTCCATGAGAGTCCATACAGACCTCTCCACATATGTTTGCACAGCTCAGAATTTGTGCCCCAACTAAGCTACAAGGGCATTAGCGTGCACGCTTGGCAGTTGTGCAAAATACATACAGAGAAGTTGCTGCGCATGTATGTCTTCCTAGCAGAGTCTAGCGGACTAGAAAAGTAGCATCACTGTGCAATCCATGTGCACATCAGATTATAATCCAACTTTAATGCTTCATGTGCATATTTCAATAAAACTGGATGGTGAAGAAACTTGTAAAGTTAGCCTTTGAGGTTGTGGCTGTCTGGAAAGAATTGCATTTCCTTATGTTACCACCAGGGGGCACAGTCCATATTTACACTGGATTACGAACACCCAACAAATCTGTGCGGAAACAAGACGCTATGTTGAACATTTACGGCGTCACATCAAATAGATATTGAGCAAAAATTGCACAAAATGTATATTTGTAAATCATGAAATTACATATTTTATTATTGTTTTGGTTGGAGGGGCCCTCGTGGCAGAAATGACATGCTGTGTATTTAACAAGCTGTAACCACCTGAATATAGAAGTCAGCAGGTCTGTGATACCGTTTTAGGTGTGTTTTTTGCTTTCGTCATGATGTTGCCTTAATAGTACATCACACAGTGTCACCATAACCTGTAATGATTCCTTGTTTCTCACATATTTTAATTAGAAAATGGAGAAAGTCTTGTTGGCATCCAATTCTCACTCATTTTATCAGTGCAGTTCTATGTTGAGGTCAGCAGGGGGCAGGCTTTGACTATTTAGAAACACACCGGCTGAAAAGACAAAAGAGTTGACAGGCAGGAATTCTGTTGAATAATGAAAACCAGCACGTTACTGGTCGTGTCTGTTTGTGATGCTGCTTTAATTGTTTCACTTGAGGAGCATTTAGAGAGTCGTCATTGGACACATGGCGACATTACGTCATCGTGGGTTGGATGGAAAGGTGAATGAGTTCACTCACTTTAAACTTACGCAACTACACCTCTTGAGAGACAAAAAAATTAGAAGATAGCTCTGGTTGGTGACATGTTGGAAAGCAAGGGCCACCAGATATTTTTTTTAAAAAGCTCTTGTACGCCGTGGTAGCTGCTGTGTGAGTGCTACAATAATCTGGTCTAATCCACGGGAATAATAGTTTATCTGTGTCATTTGTTCAGCCTTTCTCTTGCTGAGAGCCACATTACCAAGTTACACACACACACACAATAACGTACACACACATTGTGCCGGCTGTGACCACAAGTCAGACCTCCCAGCCAGCTTTGTGGCATAAATTTTTTATCGAATTACCCCCCGATCCATCGCTCAGTGCCAGGTTTGCCAGGGTCTCCCTGCTGGTCCTCTCCTCATCCTTTTCCTCTCTTTTGTCTCCAGATTTTTTGTTTTTCACACAAGCCTTTTTGCTTACTTCTATTCAGTCATTTTGTGTTTCATGTTTTTCAATTCCACCACCTGATGGTTCCTTTGCTTAATTTTGTTTTGTGTGAAATCTGGTGTAAAGGACGAGAGGTGGATGGTAGAGATCAGAGAGGAAAGTGAAGCAAAGATGACACGGCGAGGGGAGAGAGGAAGGAAAGGAAAGATGAATGAAGGGAAAGCAGAAGGATGATGAAGAAAAGGAGAGGAGACGTAAGAGATTTAGGAATAAAAACAAGACAGAGAATCAGTGTGTGTGTGAGGACGATGCCCTAAATGTGTGTTCATCTGGCTTAATTCTCAAGGACAGAACTATTAAAGATTAACAACCAACCACCATGTTTTATTGAGACAAGCCACATTTGGAGGCATTTGG